AGATCTGCTGGGTCATATGGCCCAAGTGGCAGAACAGCTTGCACAGCAGCCTGGGCCTGTTGCAGAGCTTCTCCCAGACCCCACTGAGAACTTGCAGCCTTTCAGATCACTCGATACATGGGCCAGAGTAACACACCCAAAGGAGGAATGTGTTGCCTCCAAAATCCAAATAGGCCCGCTAGGCATTGTGCCACTTTCTTGGCTGTAGGAGGAACCAAATGCAGCAACTTATCCTTTACCTTAGAAGGAGTATCTTGACAGGTCCCACACCACCAGACTCCTAGAAATTTTGCTGAGATAGAAGGTCCCTGAATTTCAGTCAGTTTTATTTCTTATCCTCTGGCATGCAAATGGCTCACCAGTGAGCCCAGTGTGCTTGCTACTCCTTGCTCACTGCATCCAATCAGCATAATGGCTCCAGTGTAATGGACCAGTGTGACATGTTTCAGAAGCAAAAAGTGATCAGGGTCGCTCTGAACAAAATTATAACAGAAAGCCAGAGAGTCGATATACCTCTGAGGTAGGATAGTAAAAATACATTTCTGGCCTTGCCAGCTGAAGGCAAAATTTCTTCTGGTGGGCCTTATGGACAGGAATGGAGAAAAAGACGTTTGTCAAGTCAGTGGCTGCATACCAGGTACCAGGAGACACGTTAATTTGCTCAAGCAATGAAACCACGTCTGGTAAAGCAGCTGCGATTGGAGTCACCACTTGGTTAAGCTTATGATAATCCACCGTCATTCTCCAAGATCCGTCTGTCTTCTGCACTGGCCAAATGGGAGACTTGAAAGGGGATGAGGGAATCACCACCCCTACATCCTTCAAGTCCTCGATGGTAGCACTAATTGCAATCCTTCCAGGGATGTGACGTTGTTTTCGATTTACTCTTTTTCTAGATAGAGGCAGCTCTAATGGCTTCCCTTTGACTTTTCTCACCACTATAGTTCTCATTCTACCAGTCAGGGAGGCAGTGTGGGTGTTCTGACAGCTGCTAATTGCGTCTATGCCAATTACGCATTCTGGCACTGGGACAATGACCACGGGATGAGTCCGGGGACCCACTGGACTCACTGTGAGTTGGACCTGAGCTAAAACTCCATCAATTACCTGACCTCCATAAGCCCCTACTTTAACTGGAGGACCACGGTGACATTTTGGGTCCCCTAGAATCAACTGGCTCCCCGGCTTGAGTGCAGTCAACTCACCTCAGTTGTCTGTAACTTCTGCCTCCTGGGCTCAAGCGATCCTCCTTCCTCAGCTTCCCAAGTAGCTGGGACTATAGGCATGTGCCATCTCACTCAGCTCATCTGGATTTTTTTTTTTTTCATAGAGACTGGGTCTTATCATGTTGCCCAGGCTGGTCTCAAACTCCTGAGCTCAAGTGATCCTCCCACTTTGGCCTCACAAAGTGCTAAAATTATAGGTGTGAGCCACCACAGCTGGTCTATTATGTTTTTTTTTTCCCCAAACATTTTCCATCCATCACTGGGATGGAAACAATGGAACCCACATATACAAAGCGTCAACTGTAGCTAAAAATGAAACTTTTTAAAAGGTAGAAAAATGCAGCCACAATTTTGTCGCTCAATCCTTTTCTTCCATTTTCCTGTATGCTAGGCTCAGCAGGAACCCCAGAGGAAAAGAGTTTAGAAGGGAGAACAGGTAAAGATACGTGGGAAAGAGAGGGTACTGAGTCCCTCGAGCCTGTAAAGGGTGAATGCAGACTGCAGCACAGGATTGCCACCTGACCGCTGGTCTCAGCTGCCAGGAAGAGCTGTGGCTTTGTCAGCAACCTCAGCTCGTCTTGCTCCCTTGATCCCGGCCTCTGCTTGCTCGGCTTCTGGCCTCCTTGGAGGAAAATGCGTGTGTCAATGGGAGCATGACGGGGGGTTCCACGCTGAAGTGGGGTGGGGGATAAGGACACGTTTGCATGAACATGCCCTAAAGGAATATGTACATAAGGAAACAGACTCCCATCTGGAGAGTGAGCTGGCTCAGGTGGGCGCTGAAAGGAGCAGGAGAACAGGCCGGATGTCTAGAAATTGCTCCATAATCCGCAGTTCCTTTCAAGTGTACTGCTTCGTCTGTTCTGGCTTCTGCCCCGACCCAGAAATCTGGAGAAACCTCAACTGGAACATCAAGTAAGCAGATTCCAGCCCTCGGGGCCCAGGGTGAGAAAAGGAAGTTGTATGAGAAAAAGAGAAAGGAAAAAACAGTCTCATGTTGTGCAACAGGTGAAGTCCCACATTGCCCCACTTTGAGGATTCCATGCTGCCGTTTGTAATCCCTGGTGAAGCATTTCTTCATGAGGCTTCCCAGGCGTCCTTCAGCCTTCCCTGGTGGTCCTGCCTCTGTGGAACTGAGCTCTCCCTTTCTATTTGCTGAGGATCAGGGAGGAGTGGGAAAGGGACTCCAGAGTGAGGGAGGAGAGCGGCATTCTTGCCCTAACCCTGCTTGCTCACTAGTAATGAACCAGAGACAGGTCATGGCTCTGCTCTGGGCTGCATCTGACAGATAAGAGGATGGACTCTTTCCCAGACAGGAATCTAGGACCCCTCAGAGCACGTTAGGTGTCTCAAGAAGAGGCACGCTTCCTAAGGGTCTTGAACTCTGGGTCAGGCCTTAGCCCCAGAACTCAGTTGCTGAAACAGGTCTCCCTTTGGAATGCCTCTCCTCGGTAGTTCATCTCCCTGAGGCGTGTTCCTATCACCCTGGGTTCCTCCTGCAGAGAGGTTTGGCTCACCCTCTAAATGCTCCCTTTCCTGCCACTGAGCTATTGGGGGTCGCTATCGGTGACTCATCAGTTGGTGGTTGTATTTGTTTTCATTTGCTGCTGCAAAAAATTACCACAAACTTAGCGTCTTACAACCACATATTTATTCTCTTAAAGTTCTGGAGGTGAGAAGTCTGCAATCAGGTTCGCTGGGCTTCGTTCTCTCTGGAGGCTCTGGGGGAGGAACCATTTCCTTGCCTTTTCCCGCTTCGAGAGCCGCATCCTAACGACCTCTTGGCTTCTGGCCTCTTCCTCCATCTTCCAAGCCAGCAGCATAGCATCTTGCTTCTGTTGGCACATTGCTACCTTCTCCTCTATTGCTGGATTTCTCTCGTACTCCCCCTTGTAAGGACACTTACAACTACATTTGGAGCCTGACCAGATAATTGAAGGTAATTACTCCATCTTAAGATCCTTAACTTGATTATCTCCAAAGTCCCTTTGGCCGTGTAAAGTGACATTCACAGGTTCTGGGGAATAGGCTGTGGACATCTTGGGGGCCATTATTCAGCTACCGTAGTGATCTATACCTTGCCTCTGGCCCTGGGAGCATCCATTCTCTCTTCCACTCTGTCCCCTCAGAATAGAATTGTGTACCTTTCTCCATGTCCACAGCCTAATCTTCCAGACCACCGCAACCGCCCCTCCCTTCACTTTCTTTAGGCTCGGAGAACATTCCAGGAGTGTGCTCTCCAATGGAACTTTCCGTGCCGATGGACAGAAAGTCCATCATCCGTGATCCGCGCTGTCCAACATGGTAACTAGCCACATGAGGCTACTGAGCACTAGAAATGTGACTAGCGTGACTCAGGAACTGAATTTTAAATTTATTTCATTTTAGTTAAATGTAATGAAATTTTAATTAGCCACTTTGGCCATGGCTAACGTATTAAACAGCTCAGATCTAGGCAAATGAAAGCAGAAACTGCTGCCAGGCACATCCTTTGCTGCTAGCCTCTTCTCACACCTGTTCTGGATCAGCTCTGCCCCCTTAACCTCCTTCTTGCAGTCCCCGCAGAATCTGAAGGAGATTTCCACGGGGGCTCTAGAATGACAGGGTGACCGAGGGCAGGACAAAGAAGGGAATTGGGTCTGTTGACCCCAGAGAGGTACAGGGCCCCAGTTCTGCATTTGCACAGGACTAAGAACACTCAAATGATTTTCAAGGTAGTCTCTGCCTCGTCCTTACTCAATTGGTCTCCCTTTTGAGGACCACAGAGGTGTGTCACTAGGGAAGGTGTGCAGGAAAGGGCATGAGCCTGGGGGTTGGCACTGGCCAGGGTCCTGCTCTGCTATGCACTTGCTGAGTGGCATGTGGCAAGTTACTGCCCAGGCCTTGGCTCTCAGTTTCTAAAAAATGGGCGGGTTGGACCAGATGGTGTAAAGTTTCCTTTTAGCTTTAGTAGACGACAAGTCTGTGTCCCATGGATCAGCCTTTATTGTGCATGCAATTCTATTTCAGAGCCATGTTGTCTCTGACCCAGGCAGTTCTGATGGAAGGATTATTAAGTCGAAGTGGCTTAAGTTACTCCTGCAACACTTCCAAACAAAACCAGATTCCATCCTTCTGTCCTCATAACACCACCTCACATTAGCTCGGGCTTTAGAGTGCTGATCCATCAACTAATCTGATCCTCATGACGACTCTGATAATTGCTAGGTCCAGTTCAAGTGAAAAGATGGAGGCTCAGAGAGGGAAGGAGAGAATCTTCCAAGTGCCTGAACCCAGGATGGGTGCTTTACATATCACCTGATAACAGTCCTTCAAAGTGGTTAATATTATCCCCATTTCACAGGTGTGAGCATTGAGGTCTAATAAGGCAAAATGCCTTTCCCAAAGTTGTGCTAAGATGATGAAGTCATTTTTCTCACTCTTCTTTCCCCTTTGCTGTGCTGCTGCCTCTGTTGCGACTTCCTGTCAAGATGTTGAAATGATAACCCTTATTATCAAGCTATCATTTTTGGGAGGATTCTTTCATGACATTCTCCAAGTAGACCTACAAGCCTCAGCAAGTCACTCCACCCAGTCCCTCCTTCATAACGGTGTTAAAACCTTTGTTGAAAGTATGCAGTGAGATCATGTATTAAGAGTGTTCAGCCCAGAGCTTATATTAAAGACTCAGCAATTGCTCATTTTTACTGTTTTGAGAAACTATTTTGTCCCTCCCAATAGTACCAGGCAATTCCTTTTACCCCGAAATCAAATTGAAATCACAAAGAAACTGTCTGCATTTTATTTCAAAGTTTTATTATGGAAACCCAGGGAATCAACAGTGTTATCCATGTATTTGCAACAGCAAAGAAACTGTGACAATGGACCTTCCCCATAGGGGACACTTATCCTTTGGCTAAACAATATAAATAATGGAAATAATACCTAATACAATAAAACAGCACACAACAAAGATTAAATTAGGAGAAGGAACAGGAGCTGCGGAGAGGTGTCGTGAGTATGGAGAAGATGCGTCTCACAGAGAAGCATCCAGGCTCAGGTGACCTTCCCTGAGGACTTCCTGTCTCTGAGCCCAGAGCAGCTCAGTTCAGTTCCAGGTCATACACATACTCCTGGACCCAGGTCTCACTGGGGTCAGCACAGACTTGCTTGCCTCTTTTGGTTTGGAATCTGTAGAACAAGGAGTGGACAGATTAGAATCCCATGGAACCTTTGAGGTCACCTGGCTTTAGCCCTTGCCTGTGGTAGGCATCATCCTCTGCCTGACCATGGTCTGTGCAGGGCAGCTCTGATGGATGGAATCCTTCCTGGGGCAGCACTGGAACCAGACTCCCTGTAACTTCCACCCACTGAATTTAACTGTGGGCCCCAGGGGTTGCCCGGATTAGGAACCAGTGGGCATTGCAATCAATATGAATGGATCTCCCCATTCCCGGTCAGCCTGGCAGTGACTTTGCCACATGTCTTTCTAGCATGATTTAAGAAATCGGTCCATAGCTCATGTGACTTTTCTGACTTCCCCTGCTCTCCTGTCCTCTGGATGAATTCCTCCCCAGGAACCCCCTTCTCTCTTGGCTCCCACCCAGCTGCCTTCAGCACTTGAAAAGTGAGTTCACGACCTGTGCCCTCATGGCTCTCAGGGAAGGCTTCAGCCCTGAGAGCTGCCTCCCCACTGCTCAGTCACCCCCTCCCTGAAACAGACCCTCTTTTAAAATCCAGCCCTTACCCTTGCCTCCCAGAATAGCCCAGGGGTTGATACTCACACCACAGCTGGCTGGGAGCAGAGGCTGCTGGTCTCGAAGTAATCTACCACAAAGTTGCGAGGAAGCTTTCTCACGGTGTAAGAAAAGCAGCAGGCGGTGGGAGGGTCTGAGCCCACTGAAAGGAAAGGCCGGAGTGAGATCAGCACTGCACTTGGGAGCTGTTAAGTTTGGCTTCTAATTTTGCATCTTCATTGAGCATCTCTGTGGAGCTACCAGAGCCTCAAATATGGTTCCTCGTATCCATTCCCACCTAACCTGAGCAGGAGTCTTATTCTGAATAGTGGATCTTCAGAGATGGGCAAGAAAGAAATCTAGAAGATTGGAACTGGATTGAGTCTCAGAACACATCTCACTCCCTTTATATGACAGATGGGGAAGCCGAGGCACAGAGAGGGACAGGGGCTCGCTTGAACAAGTAGAGGCAGAGCCAATTCAACAGTCTGACTTCCAGCCCATCCTTTTCCTCTACTCGTTGCTAATTCTTAAGAAAACAGGAACTTGAATGCTATTGAATATCTACTGGACTCTACATTTGGCAGCAAACTACGTGACAATCATCCTAGCTGTCTTTTATCCCATCCCCAGATCCCACTGTTTGACCAGCCACAACTAGAAAAGACTTTGCCTACACCTTGACTCTAGAAATAGCCACTGCAAAAGCAGACTTACTTGGTGCTGAGAGCCCTGGAGAGCAGAAGGCAGCTACCAGCACGAGGAGAGACAGGACAGTCACGCAGAGCTTCATGGTATTGGTGAAAGAGAAGTTGTCTCAGAGGCGAGGCTGCAGAGCTCAGAAGCTTTAGAACCCAGCTGCGTCCTGTGCTGATACTGAGTTGGGAACCTCGCTTTATAGGGACTCCGAGGCCTGGGACAAATGTAGGGGCACAGGAGAGTGAGTGGAATTTCCATGGTAGAGATGATGTCATGGCTCCTGAAGCTAGCTGAGTGATGAGTTCCTCTGAGCTTCTCTTCCCCGGGACGATGTCATCACAGAGGAAAGATGAGGGAGGTGCAGGGGAGAAGAAGAGGGAAGTGGTACAACCCAAGGCAGTGACCGAGACTGGGGAGAGAGTTGCAAACCCCAGGGGAAAAGATGAAATGTTCACACCTGCTGCAAGTGGCTTATAGACAAGAACTGTGCTGCTCTTGGTGGTTGGCACCCCCCAGAAGCTGGAGGGTTCGCGTCAGTCTTCCCAGGCTTGCCACGAGCTTGGCTCTAAGAACACAGGGGGAGCCAGGACTCCCCCGTACCCTTCTTGTGCCTTCTTCTGCTGAGCTGAGTGCCACTGACTTTTGTGCCCTGTATGTTTCCTTGAGCATGAAGAGTCCAGCATTGGATATGCAGAAGGACCCAGTAGAGTGACTCAGGAACATTTGTAACTTCTTATTGGACACTTATCAATGCCAGGTGCTGGGAAAGCTGTCTTACGCATGTTATATCTAATCCTACTATAACCCCGAGCAGGGGTGTGTAATCTCATTTTATAGATAAGGCAATTGAGGATCAGAGAGTGGTTCACTGATGCTCTCAATGCCACACAGCTGAGTGGCACTGCCAACATTTGAATCAAGATTCATCTGACTCCAAAGTCCACTTTCTTCCCACGCTGTAGTCTCCAGAATAAACATAGAATGTGACCACAAAGAAACTGTTGACTGATAGACTGCTAGGAGCAATTCCACATTCAAAGACTGACGGTATTCGGACTTAATTCAGGAAAGGGATTGGGCTAGTCTGTCCTAGAACAAGGAGGGAATGGAGGAGAAATGAAGAGTTCAGGATATTTTCTTGGATCAATAAAAGAACAGTTCAAAGAAACCAGTAAGAATCAAGTTTAGAAGACCCAGATACAGAATGTTCTTCTAGTATAAGAACAGAATTGAGCTGGGTACAGTGGCTCACACCTGTATTCCAAGCACTTTGGGAAGCCAAGGCAGGTGGACTGCTTGAGCCCAGAGGTTTGAGACCAGCCTGGGCAACATGGTGAAACCCTGTTTCTACAAAAAAAAAAAAAAAAAAAAATTGAAAAAAATTTAGCTGGGAGTGGTGATACATACCTGTAGTCTCAGTTTCTCAGGAGGCTAAGTTGGGAGGATCACCCCCAGGAAAGTCCAGGCTGCAGTGAGTGGTGATTGCGCCACTGCACTCCAGCCTAGATGACAGAACAAGACCCTGTCTCAAAAACAAAGCAAAACAAAACAAAACAGAATTGTATACCTAGTAATGAGTTTTTCTATGTTACAGACAAAATGTGTAATCTAAGGATGTGAGTGTGTCCCAGCTGGTCCACAGGGAATGCTCATGTTCATGTTAAGCCCTGACTGGTTTGATAGCTGCTAGGCACCTGTACAGAAGGTGAAGCTTACAAAGACCCTGAATACAGAAGTGTGTGAAGTTGGGCAAATGAAGGGAATGAGGATGATTGGATCAAGATGTCTATCAGCCTTTAGCTCTACTATTCTCACCCCGATGCTCATTCCCAACCCCACATTGTTACCTGCTCTTCTCTGAGAGAAAAAAAAGAAGGTAAGAAGAGGGAGCCATGACTTCAAACTATACTACAGGGATAAAGTAACCAAAACAGCATGGTACTGGTACAAAAACAGACATATAGACCAATAGAACAAAATAGAGGCTCAGAAAATAATGCTGCATACCTGTAACCATCTGATCTTTGACAAAGTTAACAAAAACAAGCAATGGGAAAAGGACTTCCAATTTCATAAATGGTACTGGGATAACTGACTAGCTATATGCAAAAGGTTGAAACTGGACCCCTTCCTTACATCATATATAAAAATCAACTCAAGATGGATTAAAGATTTAAATGTAAAACCGAAAACTATAAAACTATAAAAACATGATAACCTGTAAGATGGCCTAGACAGCACCATTCTGGACACAAGATCTGGCGGAGATTTCATGATGAAGACGCCAAAAGCAAATTGCAACAAAACCAAAACCTGACACATGGGATCTAATTAAACTAAAGAGCTTCTGCCTAGCAAAAGATATTATCAGCAGAGTAAAGAGATAACCTACAAAATGAGAGAAAATATTTACGAACTATGCATCTGACAAAGGTCTAATACCCAGAATCTATAAGGAACTTAAAGAAATATACAAGCAAAAAACAAAGAACTCCATTAAAAAGTGGGCAATAACATAAACAGACACATTTCAAAAGAAGACATACACGCGGCCAAGAAACATGCAAAAACTGCTCAATATCACCCATCATTAGAGAAATGCAAATTAAAACCACAGTGAGATACCGTCTCACACCAGTCAGGCTGGCTACTTTTAAAAAGTCAAAAATAACAGAAGATGCTGATGAGGTTGCAGAGAAAAGGAACACTTACACACTGCTGGTGGTAATGTAAATTAGCTCAGCCATTGTGGGAAGCAGTTTGGCGATTTCTCAAAGAACTTAAAACAGAATTACCATTCAACCCAGCAATCCCACCATTGGATATATACCCAAAGAAATAGAAATCATTCTACCATAAAGACACGTGCACGTGTATGTTCATCGCAATACTACTTACAACAGCAAAGACATGGAATCAACCTAAATACCCATCAATGGTAGAATGGATAAAGAAAATGTGGTATATATATACTATGGAATACTTCTCAGTCATGAAAGAGAATGAAATCATGTCCTTTACAGCAACATGATGGAGCTGGAGGCCATTATCCTCAGCGAACTACCACAGGAACAGAAAACCAAATCCTGCATGTTCTCACTTAAAAGTGGAAGCTAAACATTGAATACACATGGACACAAAGAACGGAACAGCAGGCACAGGGCTTACTCAAAGGTGAAGGGTGGGAGGAGGGCTAGGATAAAAAAAACTACTCATTGGATACTATGCTTATTACCTGGGTGATGAAATAATCTGTACACCAAACCGCCACAACACACAATTCACCTATATAACAAACCTGCACGTGTACTCCTGCGCCTAAGATACAAGTCAAGAACAAAAGGCACCTACAGCATCTGGGAGCCATAGGAGGGGTTGGAGCAGCGTCCCAGGTCCTTCAGGGTCATTAAAGTACAAGGTCATCCTACCTCAGCCTTCTCCCCTGCCCCCTGACCCACACACACAAGCCTCTCTCTTCTGTTCTCTCCGTCATCCCCTTTTCTTCGCACAGCTCTTGCTTGAAATGTTCTGATCTACTCCAAGATCCTCACCCCTGGCTGTAACATTCCATGTTCCCTGATAGCACATGTGTTAGTACCTCTCCTGGTCTTTGCTGGTTGGTGCAGTTTCATCTTCATGCATCAGGGACCTTACTTTAAGGGAAGCAGAATGTGTCTCCTGTTCTCTGAATCCACACAGACTTCATTACCTATGACATTTGGATTCAACCCAATGTACTACCATCTGCTGTTTGTCAGGGCAGACAGCTGAATGAAGCCCCATCCCTGCCTTCGAAGAGTTCCATATCTAGTGACAGCATTGACAGTGACAGAAATAACCATCCCAAGAGGTGGAATAAGCTAAGTGTCATGTCAGAGGAAGAAACAGTGTCAGAAAGCCTGAGGGCTGGAGAAGACTGTGTATCCGCTGTAGAAGGCTGTGTATCCGCTGTAGATGAGTAGTTCCGAGTTAAGTCTCAGTCCCCACTAGAGCAGCTGTCTGAATGAGCGAAGCGTAGAGATTCGGAGGATGCCCATTCTGGGGCTTCAGGAAAATGATTCTTAATAAAAATGGGTGACTAGTCATTATTGAGCCATACAGTGAGTTTGTCTGTGGACTTTTGCTTCCTAGCCTTGATCTGATCTTTGGCTCATGGAGGTAAAATGTTTTGAGGGATCTTCGTGAAGATCCTAACAACAATACTAGGTCTGCACCAGTAGAAGTCCACAATGAAATCAAAAAGGACTTGTATCATTTGGCTTAGCCATATTCACTATCCCCACCAAGATTTAGGCACTGGTGCCATTTAGAACTCCTGGAAGGCAATGTGGAAACTGGAAAGTCAAGGGGGGCCAATAAAGAATGATAACAAATGACTCTCATATACATGACCAAAAAAAAAAAAAAAATGCTCATCTTCTCTAGAGAAACTTCCCTGACCTCTTTCCCAAGTAAATTCTGTATCCTTCATTGTACTCCCTACAGTCTTCTGAATTACTTCCTTCTTATCACCTGTCACATATTTATCTATTTCTGTTAAGTTGCCTCTCCAACTAGAAAGTGAGCTCCTTGATGCAGAAACTGTTATGCTTATCTCCATGGAGGGGATGTGATGAGTAATATGGACTCGAGATGTGGCCCACTATACAGCCAAATGAGTAAAACAAGTATGAATGCACTGGTTGTTCTGACATTCCACCCGAAAGGTGATTCCTCAGCCCTTAAAGTGTGGTACTTCCCCTTCTCCCACACCCTCAACCCACACATCCAGTAGTTTCATCAAAATGGCTCAGAATTGCAAGAAGTGACGGCAAGGGTCATCCATGGTTCCAGGGAGCTCCATTCAGAGGGCATTCAGAGGGCCTCCCTTCACCGCTGAGCAGGGAAGCCCTTCTTTCCCGCTTACTTGTGGTCACATACCGGTTTCCCCCTCCGCAACCTTGACCACCACTATATTCATAACTCCATTCTGGGCATTTTTACATTGGTCTTGTCACATTGCCTTCAACTTTCCAGGCTGCAAGCAGGACCAGCAGCCACAGCAGTGACATGATCTTGAAAATGTCCTGGTATTTTTCATTTTCCTCAGCATCTCCACAGCCTGTGGTTTTACCTGATCCCAATCGGTTTTGCCACTGCACAGATTTGGAAAGCAAAACGTAGAAAAGTTAAAAGACCCCTAAGGTCTTCAACTCCCAGTTCAGAGATGACTAGAGTCCCTCTACAGGTATGACCATCTGAGATGACACAATCTCTGATTGTAACAGATTCTCAGAAGAGATCACAAAAGTGCTGAGGAGCAGGGAAGAAAGGCTGTCGGTCTGGACAGCCTGGCCTCTCCTAGAGTGTTGGGGAGACTACCGGGTGTTGGGGCAAAGAGGTGACCTCTAGGAGGTGGGATGCCTAGAACTAGAGAGCTCCTGGAGGGCAAATGTGGAGACTGGGAAGCCA